GGGGGGGCGGGTACCTGGCAGCATGGCCTTCTCTGGGGTGGCATTCGTGTACCACAGGTACCAGTCACGAGGGTACTGTTCAAAGGAGTTCATGAGCCCGTGGAAGTTGGTCAGTTTGTCCAGCTCTGTGATGTTATCCCAGTAGGCATCCGCCAGCCAGCTGGTACACGGGTTATCCATTTGGCCCTCCCGATCCAGCACCTGGGCCAGGAGAGGAGGAAGGGAGTGACCGGGGACACCTCCGAAGAATTACTTTTTTTTTTTAATGATGGCAAAGCCCAGATGAAGGAAGGAGGACAGGCATCCGAGATGGATTGGGATCCACCCTGCCTGGGGAAGTCAATGTGGGGGTCTAGGTCTCGCTGTGCAGGGACCGCACTGTGCAAAAGGTAGGAAGCTGGCGCCCTCTGGTGGTCTCCTGGTATTACTGTCCCTCACCCTAACGCTTCCCGTCCGCAGCCTCACCTCTCAGAAGCGGTTTGTTTGGTCCCTTCTTCAACAAATATCTATTGCTCACTGACTATGTGTTTCCAGCACTTGGGACACATCACTGAGCAAAAAGGACAGACACCTCAGCCCTTGAGGAGCTTATTTTCCAACATGGGAGGGAGGATGATGAGCCAAAACACAGAACAGATCGTGAAATGATCTAGCACGTTAAAGATGGCAAGGTCATGCAAAAACAGAGGAAGCTGAGGACAAAAAAGACTGGAAGTTCTTGGGGGGGGAGCTGAAGTATTAAATAAGAAGGGGCGCCCGGGTGGCTCAGTCGGTTGAGCATCCAACTCTTGGCCTCGGCGCAGGTCCTGACCTCAGGGTCGTGGGATCGAGCCCCGTGTGGGGCTCAGCGCTCAGCTGCCCTTCCCCCCACCTCAAATAGATAAATACAATCTTAAAAAGAGAGAGTCAAGGAGGTCTCAGTGAGTGAGGTGAGATTTGAATCAAGTCTTGGAGAAGGTGAGGGAGGGCCACGCGCCCACCTGTGGCAGGAGAACAGGCGATTCAGGGGCGCTAAGGTGGGACAGGCCGGCGGCCACAAGGAGGTCTCTGTGGCTGGGGCGGGTGGAGGGAGGAGCGGGGTGGGTGGGGGCGACACCAGCGATGTTTTAGAAGAGTCTCTGGCCGCCAGGCTGAAAGGTTGGGGGTGGGGAGCGTCTGGAGGCTATTGCTAAAATCCAGACGAGAGGTGAAGTGCGGGCAGCAAAAGGAATGAACCGGTTGCCCCTGAGGTTGGAGAACGACCGGCCAGGGGAACATGGAGGGGAACGAGGTGCTGCCGTCTGGCGGTTTTAAGGAAGCAAAGGATTTAAAGCAAGTCCATCCAGCGTGGGCGTTCTTCGCTGCCCGGGCCACCCAGGAGCAGGAGAGCCGGATCCAACCAGAGCGGCGGTTTTGCCAAGCAAACGCAATATGGGGGCGGGCGGTGAGGGTGCTTGCGAGGGCGAGAGCACAGTGTGACCGTGGCAGCCCGGGGGAGGGGTGCGGTGTGACTTGAGCAGCAGCGAGAGAGGCAAGATCACGCCAATCAGTGGGTCCCGGGGAAGAGGGGCCCCAAAGCTCTGCCCGTAACGCGAAGCCCATGGTAGGTCACGGCCGCGTCCCCGGGGAGCTGGGCGTGCACCTGCTCCTGGCGCTTTTCCTTAGCTCACTCGCTACAGCCGTGGGCCTTAAGGGCCGGCCAGGGTCCTCGTCACGCGTGCCCCCGGCCCGACCTCGATGCCTCTGCCCTGCTCACCACGCCCCCGCGCAGGAAGAAGTTGTACTCATCCATGTTGAGCTTGCCAGAGGTCTCCAGGATTTTGGCGCACATCTGGAAGCTGAACAGCAGCTTGTGGCGTTCAAAAAGCGTGCGGCAGGTGTACCTGGGGGACAGGCGGGGGGGTGGAGGAGGCGGGAAACCAATATGGAAGCTGACTGACGAGGGTCGTACGATCACAGAGCCTGACACACAACAAGGACCCCAATCAGCATCTAAGCCGAGCCCCCCATAATCAGCCAAGCGCACGGGGACCTGGGGAGTTGGCTGGTGACATCAGTCATTCGTTTCCATCAAACAACCCACAACGTTGGTGGGACCCCTGCTCTGTGCCAGGCGCTCTGCCAGGTCCCAGGGACACAAAGGTGAATAAGCCACAGTCTCTGTCCTGGAGGCAGTCAGGTCGAGACGGAGGACAGGCGGACAGCCCGGGGATTCTCATGTGACCTGACGGGTCCTGTGCGGGGTGGCCAAGCCGAGGGGGGTGGCCAGGCAGGGGCGCCCCGGGGCAGTCTGTGAGAGGAGCTCCCCGGGAGCAGCAGAGCAATGAGGAAGAGCAGAGAGGACCCCAGGGAGAGCCAGGAGCCGAGGCAAACGGCTGGGCTGTTTACAGGGCTGTGGTGGGAGACCCGGGCAGGGGCCTCTGCAGAAAGACTCATGAGCAAACCCTGGTGCCTGATCCCGGGGTCGGGGGGAGAGGAAGGGTCAGGGAGAACTTCCGATTTCTGGCCTGGGTGGCGCGGAGGTGGGCGTTGGAGCCGCCCAGGGTGAGAACCCTGAAGGAAGCGGGGGATGAGGGGTTTCATGTGAAACGAGCTGAACTCGGGGGGCCTGTGGGCCGTCCAGGTGGAGGTCAAGTTCGCCGCCGCTCAGAGGGTGGCCCCCAGACCTGCCATAGCAGCACCCCCTGGGAGCCAGCGAGAGCCATGCCCCAGACCCGCTGAATCCGAATCTGGATTTTACCAAGATCCCTAGCGCTTTTGGGGCACACCGCCCCTCCAGAAGTGCTGGGGGAGCGGACACTCGTAGGTAGGGGTGCAGGGCTCACTGACAGCTCAGCTTTGAACCTGGTGGGCCAGACCCCCGGTGGGCGCGCCGCCCAGGGACGGTGCAGGGAGAGGGGAGCGGGGCACCAGGAGCCGGGCGGCGGGAGGGTCAGCGCCTCGGGGGATGCTCGGCCGCACGGTGCGGGGCACCGACCTGTAGACTGCGTAGGTGTGGTACTCGTTCAGGTAGTCGATGCGGTCCTCCAGCTTGTGGCTGCGGTGGCTCTTGTCGATGCTGAGGACGAAGAGGCCGATGTAGGCGTCCAGCGAGAACTGGTACATGGGGTCGATGCGGCCCATGTCGTTGAGCACGAAGAACAGCACCGAGGCCCGCTGGGCGCAGGGGCGGTAAGCCTGCGGAGGGGCGGAGTCAGGGCCCGCGGGACCACGGAGGGGCCCCCCCCAGTCTCTACTGCTGGAGCCCACCTCGCGGGCCAAGTCGATGTTGATCTCCGTGGTCTCGCTGGTCTCCAGCTGCTCCGTCACCTCGGTGGCCGTCACTTTGGAGGTCTGGAGGGTGTTCACCAGCTGCACATCCTCGAGCAGGGAGCCTGTGGCCTCATTCAGCAGCCTGAAAGGAGGCCCCGGGGGCGTGGGTCCAGAGCGGAGGAGTGCTTGCTGGGCCTGCGGGTGGGCCGGGGGGGGGGGCGCAGAGGGCAGCTCTCACCGAAGGATCTCGTCCTCCAGCTCCTTGAGCTTCCTCTTGCCGGCAGCAATATTGATGACCAGTGAATCCTTCTGCTCCTCCAGCTCCGGCCGCTCCTTCCGGACCACGATGCCCAGCAGCTGAGCCTCCAGGCCCTGAGGGTGCAGGATGCATGGTGACGCTCTCACTCCGGGGACCTCACCCTTGTCGCCCCATTACATCTCCAGACCCCTCATCCCCTGCTGCCCGACCCCATGGGCCTGTCTCCATCTACCGACTCAGTGGCACTTCCTGCCCCACCCGAGTTCAGTCCGGGTGCCAGCCCCCACCCACCTGTTCTTTGACAGCAAAGTTGACAATGGTGGTCTTGGCCGAGGTCTCTGGGCTGTAGTGGGGGTTGGAGAGCTTGGTGGTGATGTAGAACCGGAAATTTGTATTGTACTCCACCTCCTTGTCTCCAATGCGCATCAGCAGCCGACCGCCTGTAGCCACAGGGGGGTCAAGGGCGAGGACCCACGTGGTCAGCGGCCGTGACTCAGCCGGCCACCGTGGCCCCAGCCCAGGGCTGGCTGAATGGAGGCCCACAGCCCCAGGGCCAGCCCCTTCCTCCCCAGGGTCCTGCAGCTGGCCTCCCGGATGTGTCCCACAGTCGAAGCCCACAGTCAGCCTGGGCCCTAACCGATTCGAGCTACAGATTTGTTGAGCACAGGGTTGAGTGTGGGGTCCAGATACTCCTGCACGTTCTGGAGCAGCACTGGATATCCAAACTGGATGGCGTTTTCTAGAATTCGAAGGTAATCGCTCATCTGCAGGTCAATAATCTGGAGGCCCTAGAGAGCAAGGGCAACAGTGGGAGACGGACAAGGGACCAAAGGAAAACCTGGCTCATGGGTAGGGCCTCGGGAAGAGACAGGCTTGGGGAGAGCAGACCCCCCCCCACCCCGCCCTGTACCTGGTTTCCTTCCATGTTCTTGATCCACTTTAGGGCCTGGGCCTGAGGGTCAATCATCAGCGCCCACCTGCGGGAGGATGGCCAGTCAGACCACGGGCTCTGCCCTACCCCCCCCCGCCCCCAGCAGCATCCTCACCTGTTACCACGGGTGACAATGATGCCATTCTCAGTAGAAAAGGCATCCGAGGGCAATCCTTGGATGTTCCAGTCTCGAACTTTGGTAGGATTGGACAGGAAGTTATCAAAAGTGAAGCGAGGCGAGCAAGGGACCTGAAGCTCCCAGATCTGGGTGGGGAAGAACCCCGAATTTCAGCCTGGAGACCTGAGCCCGGCCCCCCGGCCCCTGCCGGAGATCCCTTGGTTCCTCCCAGAGGCCGTGGTCTCACAGCCCAAGAGCTCACTCGCACCTGAGCCCCGCCTCACCTTCTTCATCCAGATCTGGTTGACGATCTCGTCCCGGTAGTTGGTCAGGAAGGGGCCCATGTAGGACAGGAAGGCAGCGGCCAGGAGACAGTCACCTACCAGGTAGCCCAGATCCTCCTCCAGGCCCTGGGGGCCGGCAGGGGGTGTAAGCCAGTAGGGGGGCGAGGGGGGACACACTGGGAGTGCTCTGAAGGCACTCTCCTCGGGACACTATCTAGATCAAAGAGGTGCTTCCCATCTCCTAAACCTTTGGCCCTGAGAGCTCTAACCTGGTTCTAATTACTTCTGAATTCCCCGTCTTTAACAGCAGTTCTGTTTACACTCCGGTGATAAGGCCCAAGCCTTTCCTGAAGCCAGGAGCTCAATCAAGGCAGAAACAAGATGCCCCAGGACGGTTTCTACCAGGCCTGCGGCCCCATCAGGGACCCTGGCGTGAGCTTCCCAGGCCTCCATAAACATGGCAGCAGTTCCCTGATGGCACAAAGTCCTTCCTTCCGCTCTTCTCAAGTGGGGGGGGGGTCCCATCCCCCATCCTCGGAGGGGCCTACACCCCGGGGTCCCTCAGCCGGAAGGGGGCGGCACTCTGGCAGGAAGGGGCGCCAGGCCGTGGGGCTGATCTCACCTGCACCGTCTCTTCCCACCGTGCCTTCTCGCCAGCCAGCCCGGACACCAGCAGCCCCGCACGCTCCAGCTTCACCTCCATCTCCTCAGACTTCTTGCGAAGCTCCTCCTTCTGGGCCAGCTTCTCGTCGTACTGTTTCTTCAGCGTCTCCAGTTTCTCAGCCACCTAGGAGGGACCAGAGCACAGGGATCGCAACACAGTGCGTGGGGCCAGACCGCCCTGGCTTCCCATCGCCAGTCTGCCGTGTGGCCTCGGGTGAATTCATCTCCGTGTGCCTCAGTTTCCTGGTGTGCAAAATAACCATACCAACGCCTTCCCTACAGGGCTGCTGTGGGGAGAAAACGAGATCAAGTGTGCACGATGAGGTGAATTTTCTTTCCCTTCCCTCCGCCACGCTTTCCTCAAGCCTCGAAACTGCTTGTAATGAAACCCGAGGCTGGATTAGAGACAGATCTCTCGCAGCAGAACAAGCCACACGAGATACGTTGTTGGCAAGAAAGAATCAGGTAGCGCAGAAAGGGCTGCCAGCCCATGCCAGAGGGGCACGGACCTCAGGCAGGACCTGGAGGGAGAAAGGAAAATCTAGAAACGAGCTCAGGAACCGTTGGGAGTAAAGGCCCAGGTCCAAGGACCCACACGGGGATGGGGACCCGGGAAGGGCTCTCCCTCCTAGAGAAGGTCCCCGGGCCCCGCGGAGCCTGGGATGTGCCGCTCAGATCCGGAGCACGGGACTGGGGAGCCTCGTCCAGGCCCCCTACGTGTGCCTGACCGGCCAGCAGTGACCATGTCGGGCGCACGCCGTCGCCGTCCTCTTCACGAGGAGCACGGGGCCGGCCTGACGGGAAGCGCCTGGCACGAAGCGTGCGCTTGACAGACGTCGATCCCCTTCCTGCCGCCACCGCCAGGGGAGGCGGCCGGCGACCCTGCGGCGCTCACGTCCTCGCCTGCCTCTCTGACGGGCCTCATCCGGGTTGTCAGAAGAGCACAGGGCCTGGCAGAGGGCACGCGAGCGGCACCGGGGCCCAAGCCCTGAGGCGGACCTTCGGGATCCTGGAAATGTGACATGTGACCCCCCCCAAGTTACTGTCCTTAAAGCAAAGTGGAGGTTCCAAATGTCACCTTCGGGGGACAGCGCGGCTTCTAGATCAAACCTCGGGAGCAATCTGTTAAAAGGCACTAACATCAAAAAAAAAAAAAGGCACTAACATCTAAAGAAAGAAGGGGTGCGGGCGCCTGGGTGGCTCAGTCGTTAAGCATCTGCCTTCGGCTCAGGTCATGATCCTGGAGTCCCAGGATCGAGCCCCGCATCGGGCTTCCTGCTCAGCAGGAAGCCTGCTTCTCCCTCTCCCACTCCCCCTGCTGTGTTCCCTCTCTTGCTGTGTCTCTCTCTCTGTCAAATAAATAAATAAAATCTTTAAAATAATAAAAAATAAATAAAAATATATTAAAAATTAAATAAAATCCTGATGTCCAAATCAGGGGTGCCTGGCTGGCTCAGTCAGAAGAGCATGAGACTCTCGATCGTGGGGTTATGAGTTCAAGCCGTACATTGGCGGTAGAGATTACTTAAAAATAAAATCTTAGGGGCGCCTGGGTGTCTCAGTTGGTTGAGCGACTGCCTTCGGCTCGGGTCGTGATCCTGGAGTCCCAGGATCGAGCCCCGCATCGGGTTCCCTGCTCGGCGGGAAGCCTGCTTCTCCCTCTCCCACTCCCCCTGCTTGTGTTCCCTCTCTCGCTGTCTCCCTCTCTGTCAAATAAATAAATAAAATCTTAAATTAAAAAAAAAAGGGGTGAAGTGAGCTGGGCCACGCAGAGGGCGAAACACAGCTGGGGGCCCAGAGGGAAAGGAGCGCCCTGTCCCTCCCCCACTCCGCACGCGTGGGCTTCACCCCGGTGGAGGTGCACGTGACCGCCTCCCCGCGCTGGGTCCACGCTCGTCAGCAACGCTGATTATAATTGGGCTTCCCGCGGAGATGTGTCTGTGGGGAGGCGGCCAGCCCACGACCATTCTGTATTTCATGACTGGTTTTGCACGTGGTGTTGTCTTCACAGTTTCTATTTTTTATACAGGAAATGTGTGCATGAGGTTAAAGGCCTAAATTATGTGACAGAAGCGGTTAGAATGACAAGCAAGAGTCCTCTAGCCGCCTCTTCAATCCACTCCCGGTCCCTCTCTGCTGTGGAAAATAATTTTTTAACTATTCTCTTCTTATTTCTTCTCTATATTTTTGAATATTATACTTAGGCTGGTATTTTTCTTTTCTTTTCTTTTTTTTTAAGTAGGCCACACGCCTAGTGCGGAGCCCGACGCAGGGCTCGAACTCACGACCCTGAGGTCAAGACCTGAGCTGAGATCAACAGTCGGTCGTCTAACCAACCGAGCCATCCACAAGCCACCGTAAGCTACTATTTTTAAAATACATACATATACATATGTATTAATCTGTTTGCAGATTTAAAATTTTTGCAGTTTTAATCTTTTTAGTTCAAAAATTATGAAAAATTGCAAACCTAGGAAAAAGAATCGTATGATGAACACCTCTATACCCGTCACATTTAACAGTTGTTCACGTTTCGCTATTTTTAATCTCATCTCCTTGTGTTTTGCCGAAGTATCTTAAAGGAAGTTACGATCTCGTGAAACTTGCAGCCTCAAGACATCATAATGCCTCTCGAGAACAAAACAAGGACATTTCCCACACGACCGTAACCCTATTATCGCACCAGCCACAACCTTGTCTTTTTTAAAAATAATAATAATAATAATTTTCCTCTTTTAGGTCTTTTTGTAAAGAGTGAATCCACATCAAAAGGAAGGAAGGGCACACACACCGTGGAGGATCGGCTTCCTCTCCCGGTCCTGAGCCAGCCCCCCGCACCTGCACTCGCTCAGAAACCTTTCCAGACAGAGTCCAGTTGGGCAGGTTGGGCGCAGAGCCCGCCCATAATAAAGTAAATGCAAGCACCGTGAAAGCAGGGCCTTGCTCGCCGGCTCGATCCTTATACTTAAAACAGTGCCCGGCGCTCAGGAAACAGTTCTTGACTGGGTGAATCTTTTCATGAGGATAAATGCTAGCATACGACTGCGTGTTACTATTTTTTCCTTGTCTCCAAGTCGGCTCTCGTCAAGCTGCCTCATTCTCTTTACCAGCTGCAAAATAATCTTGTGAATGACTGAGCCATAATTTATATAACAAGTCTTCTGATAGATGTGTGTGTCTTTCCCGCACTTTCTATTCTTAACCGCGCTGGGACCAACGTCCTCGTCCGTACGTAAGCACATCTTGACACAGCTGTTTCTTTTTTGTTTACTTGGTGAATAAGTCACTTAAAAATTCAGAAGGCACCAGGGCCTGGAAAGTGTCCCAACCCTGCCCCCGGTCTGCCCCGCTCCCTCCTCGAGGTGACCTGCTTCTTGAATATTCATCCCTCCAGAGGCATTTCGTGTTCCACGCAGCGGTGTCCTGGTTTCGTAACTATTTCTATGACGTCCGTCTACGAGGGAGGCAGGTGTCTCCCCTGGCCCTCCACACCACCACCTCTTTCTCCCTGCTCCTACCAGTTTGTTTTGAGGTCATCTTGACACCCAACGTGGGGCTCGAACCCACGACCTAAGACCAAGAGTCGCACGCTTCACTGACTGAGCCCAGCCAGGCGCCCCCTCCTACCGGTTTTAATGCTGCTACTCGTTACCTTCATAATGCCAAATAACATCTTCAAACCCTGTTTTATCTGATCTCCTACAAAAGCATTGCCCAATCCTTCCCCCACCCACCTCCACCGCCCACCTAGTTAGCCGCACTTTTATTTTTATGGGGTCGAGCTCGATAACGACGTTCCCACTCAGCAGTCACTGTCTTCCCCGAGGCCGATCATGGTGGCCGGATGCCGCATGAAGCACCACGGGACTGTGCCCAGGGCTGGTGTTGTGTGCGCCTGGTGGCTGGCCAGGGCCCATTCCGACAGGGTCACCGAGCACGCTGCCCCGCTTGTGAAATGTTTTCCTGTCGCCCCGACGATGTGCTTTTCTCTTGCGGAAATTCTCATCGGTTGGATTGGATCTCGGATCTCTCTCGTGGGGTTGGGTTTGTGGTCGCTCCTCATGGTCCTCGACTCTGTCTTCCCGCCCTCCTGCTGACCGTCAGGCTTTGAGCATTTTTACTTTTCCCAGACTCTTTGTCTCTATTTGCGATTTTTTTCTCTCAACGTCCTCTTTTTGCTCTCCGGGTATCAGGTCTTCCTTCATCACCCTCTGACGATAGCAGTGTTTACCTTGGGTTTGCTTTTCAAGTGCTTCTCCCTAACCTAGTTATCTCTGGGTTTATTTTTTCTTCTGGGGTCATGTTCTGTTACAATTTCTTATCTTGGCCATCGTTCCCTCGTTCTGTTGGAAGACTTTCTCCAAGTCCTCACACACCCCTGCTCCGGGGGAGGTGTGCGGCTGATCTGACTGGTGCAATCAGCTGGAATGCTCAGCTGAGCTCAGGCCCCTTCCACTCTGCACGCCCCCCCCAGCAACACAGGCACCCCAGGCAAGTCTGATGACGGGGTCACGTCGAGTGGGACCGCTCGCCCACGCGTCAGCCACATCCTCCCACCTAGTCTCTAATGGCGGTATTTTGGCCAAACCCCTTTTGTTTTATTTTTCAATGTGTTTAGAAGCCCAGGAATAGGAGGAGGCTGCTCGTCCTCAGATTCCTCGAGAGTGTATGTGCAGACTGGGAGACCCACTGAGAAGCTGGGGGCGGGGGCGGGGCGTCACACACAGACTTCGGGGGCGTGGACGCGTGTTTCGACTCAGAGCATCTGTCCGGGCTCCTGGGTTTTTGCACTGGTGCGCTTGATTTCTAGTGGCTGTCGCCGGTGGGGGGGAGGGGGTGTTCACGCCAACGCTGCGATACTCTGACCTTGGCAGATGACCGCGGCTTTGTCCACGGGTGGGTGGCCGTTTCTGGAGAGGCAGGACTGCTTGAAGCAGTGGGAACCGGGCAAAGGAGAGACGTGGGCTCTGAGGGTGGGCGGCTTCACCATGAAGGCTGCCTGGCCACCAAAGGGCCTGCCACGCTGCCTAGCGGGAAGCGGGGGCGGACAGTGCGTGACATCTGCGGGGTTTCAACGGCAAGACGGTAGGTCCTGCGTAGCCTGCAGGTGCCGGTTTTCAGTGGTGACTGCCAGGCCGACGTGGCCCTGGACCAGCCGTCTCTGCTTCAATGTCTGACACCCAGGGCCAAGGAGGCAATGGTGATGGGGTGAACCTGAATCCGCGCAGTCTGGCCACAGGCTGCTGGGCCGCAGGGATTCCACTTTGGCTGAGCTTCTAGGCGATGTGGTTAGGGTACGTGGCATGCGGCTGTGACCCGTGCATTAAGGGAGCATGCCCGAACAACTTGGGGGGCTCCGGAGGGGAGGACGGCAGCGGACTGGTTTCCTGCCAGGCCCCCGGCCTCAGCAGCACCACCAGCAGCTCACAGCTCGGGAGTCTGCGGAAGGCCGCTTTCCAGCTCAGATAAGTACGGGGCCAGATGAAAGGCCTCCCTGGGAGGCAGCCCTGGTAGGCCTCAGCCAGCCCACAGAGAGCCGGCCGTGAGCCCCTGCGGGACGGGGAGACCGCGCCTGACCAAGACACAGAGCGGGAACCTGAACTTGAACGGACGTGGCCCGGGTTTCCGTGTGGGCGAGACGCTGGCGGGGGCTGCAGAACATGGCAGACGTCTCAGTGCCCCCGACGGGCGACGGTGGATCTGAGGTGGTGAATCTCGTATTTTAACCATGATAACTGCCCGCTCCAAAAAATACGTATCGTATGTGGCTTTCCGGCCTGCCCCCGATTCAGGAAATGCTTTTCGGTGGGATCACATCTCATATTGATCCGCTGTGGGAGGCTCCCCCATGACCTGTGGCTTCCGGACACGCAACGTTCTGGTGAAGCTAAAACCAGGATTTTCTCCGAGCCTCCTCCCTCCGGCAGGCACCGCTCAATTTTTACTGCAGTCTCTGGCGCCACGAGAAGGGCCGGTTCCCAGGAACGTAATTTTATCTGGAAGTCGTGTGTGCCTCATTAACTCCTCTGATTTTTTTTATTTTCAAACGCTGCTCACAAGAGACATGATTTGGAGCCGCTACAGTGGTGAGTGACCACCCCGGCCGCGGCCGGAGGACACGAGTTCTCCCCCGATGCTGAGGGCGCCTCGGCTGAGACTGAGCAGAAGAAGAAACTGGAGGGTTTAGGGACTTTAACTCGACAAGGTTGGCTTCTCGATTTTTAATTCTCAAAAGCAAGATTATTTGATTTCGGATTTTTATTTGGGCTCCAGTTCACACGGGGACTTAATCTTTGAAATGTAGGGACCCCCTCCTGAGGGTTATATTCAAATGGGTGGAATTTCTGTGTGTTATTAATACTAGGATAGCATTTGATGCTGCTGGGCCGTGTCCCCACACTGCCTGGGACATGCTGTGTTGGACTGGGATGGGCAATGGAAGCAAGGCGGATGTTCAGCCCTGGGTACACAGCTGCTTGCCTTGAAGTAGATGAGGATTCTGTTCTGACCCATTTCAGAGCCTTCTGGGGCAATTTTGAAACCAGTGGTTTGTAACCCCGGCTGCGTATGTCAGAATCGGCCCAGCAGAAAAGGTATTCTCAGGGTCCCCAAGCAAGGGAGTCAAGCTTAAAACTATTTACTCAAGATTTGAATGGACAAGCCCTATAGTTGAGCTCTGGGCCTCCTTCCAGACCCCTGGGCCGTGCTGAATTCAGGCTCTCCCGCCCCCGGCTGGCTCTGACAGGGAAGTTTTCAAAATGCTCATTTCCAGGCTGTCCCAGAGATGGGTCCCAGCCAGTCTGGGCTGCGACCTCAGCTCGGTGTCCACAAGTGGGCTGCGAGTCAGGCCGGACATTTGGCTCAGAGCCTTTCAGTAACGGAGGGGAAATGTGGGGTCCTTGTCTGCTTCCTCTTGTCCGTGAGGGGCTCTCAAGAGACCTGACACCGGGTGTCCTAAGGATGCTTGTCCAGTGCATGACACTTTTGGCAGCTGATGCCGCGGGCCCCACTTGTCACGCATCAAGGGAACAGTTCCTAATTATTCATCCCAGGATATGAATCATGCAGGGGTGAGAAACCTTTCCAAATAAACCGCCATGCCTGTGATTATTCACTCTCCCTAGAGAGAGGAAAAGAACGGATGCTGCGAGAGGGGCCGGGGAGGAGCGCGGGCAGGCCGAAGCTGCTCGCCCAGCCTGCTTGGCTCTGCTTGGAGGGAATCCGAAGAGGCCCCAGGAGAAGCTGCACTTCAGGCGAGAACAGTGAGGCTTAGGGTCAGAAGCGTGGGCCCCAGCCCCCCTCTGTGGGTAACTAGGAAGTCACTTCGTCTCACTAAACCTCAGGGTCCTCATCCCAATTCCAGAGTTAGACCCGCATGTTCTCCATTGGTGGTTTCGGGGGAAACATTCTGGAATGCTCTGACCAGCTTTGGCTCCATAAAAACGTAAAACCTCACTGTGGGTAAAGTTAGTGTCAACGATGTTGGAGGACATGCAAAGATTAAAAGCTCGGAAAGGATGAGTATCTCCATCAGAAAGGGAAACAGGTAAGTAAACGGGCCCGGGTGGGTGAGGGTGAGAGAGAAGCTCAACCTCGACGTACCCACCTGGAGGGGGCTTCCAGGTATGGCTACACAAGACCGGATGGCGCAGAACAGTGTGTATAACGTGGAAAAAATGACCAAAACGTGCTTGTACAACCAGAGAACAGCCCTGGACGGCTACGCAAGAAGCCGTAAGCGAGGCTGCTTTCCAGGAAGGGGTGCGGGGAGGCGCAAGGTTTCTCACTGGATTCTCTCTGGACCTTTAGAATTTCACCCCATGTGGATATTAAAGGCTATTGAACCAGGGATAGGAAACGTGCATGATCGGGGGGAAGAACTCGGGACTCTCGATGCTAATGCTCCCTGCGGGGCCTGGTGGGAGATGCTTGTCCCCAGTCCGCTCGAAGGCACCTCTCGGAATCTCCCTCTCCCTCCAGCCAGCTAGCCGTGCTCCCACTCCCACTCCTCTGGGCCGCGGCCGCCATGCCCCACTCATGCCCCATCCCCCCCCACACCGGGCCACGCGGGGTCACCGCTCTGTGTCTCTGAGCCCACCTCCAAGGCCGTGAGAGAGCCCGCCAGCCCCCAGATCAGCGTCTGGAGGGGCTCGTCAGGGCAGCGGCCCCGTGCCTTTGCGACCCCTGCCGCCCCTCTGAAGGGGCACAGCGGGCGGGGCTCACAGGACCGTAAGGGAGGAACAATGGCCGCAAGCACCCCAGAAATCAGGGACAGGGTCCGCGTGGAACACACGGGCCGAGGCTCACCTCCCGCAGCTTCTCCTGGGCCTCGGCCAGTGCTGCCTGCTTCTCCTGAAGCTGGGCCAAGGCAGCGTTCATCCGAATCCGCTTGGGCTCCACCACGCGGTACAGACGCCCATACAGCTGTGGGGGGACACAGGTGTGGGGGGACGGCCTGGCCCCCCTCACCGCCAACCCCCGCACCCCCCCCCCCACTCCCCGGCCCGCCCCGCCCCGCATGCACCCCGCTCACGTCCACAGCCCACACCCTGCTCACCTCCATGGCCCGCACCCCGCTCACCTCCACGGCCCGCACCCCACCCACGTCCACAGCCCGCACCCTGCTCACCTCCATGGCCCGCACCCACATGCACAGGGACTTGGCAGCGAGTGAGACTCTGCCGATGATGTCAGGCTGGAAGTCTGGCTGCGCACAGTAGGCCCCAATTTTCTTCAGAACCTTATCTGAGATATTGTCTTTATCAAAGTGGATCAGGGATTTGATGAAGTTCTGCTCCCCTGAGGGATGAAACGGCGGGGGGGGGGGGCCCTCAGCCAGAGGGCCTCACCCTCCTTATCCAGCCTTCGCCTCCACCCCGCAGGCGCAGCCGTATTTTTCCTGGGCTGGGCTGATCCGGCCTCATCCCAAGTTCCCCACTGACCTTGCTTCCGTCCCTGGAAACTCCAAGCCGCCAGGACCCTCCCCAGTCTTCCTAGCCCCCTCTGCCACCACTTTCCTTGGACACTCGCAGCCAATCCCCCCGGCCACCGGAACGCGCATGCAAACACGTACACACACACACACACACACACGCACAGACACACCATCACTTCTGTATGCTTCGCACTGACTTTTCAGGGCAGGGGTCCCCCACCCACAGCTTGCAGGCTTTATTCTACCAAGCCTCTGGTTTCACATTTTCCGATTCTTGTCCTTTTGGGGGGCCAAAGGCATTCCTGCCCTTGGATTCTGAGATATATTCCTGTATCTTTTTTTTTAAAGATTTTATTTATTTATT